AGTCAGTCTAAACAGAACGTCTGGCTGGCATTGATAAATAGGACACAAGGTTATATTTTAGGAAAAGAAACGTGTAAAACAGGATATGACTACAATAAACACTGAGACTTTCACTGAACAGGATAGAGGATGAAGATCCCACCCACTGCCCCAAACTCACTATGAAATGTATTTCTAATGGCTTGCTTCTAAAGTCATTTTTGAGTTCAACAAAGGCTGAATAGAAGATAAAACTTAAGATTCAATATTTCATAGTTTGAGGCTTTTGGAGTGACAGATGAAATGATTTTGAATTAAAAATTTAAGTAATTTCAAACATTTAAATGTAAAGGTGCATTGCTTGAAAGAATCATTAAAAATGTAGTTAAAAATGGGTAACTTCACAGCCAATAAAAAGTAGTAAAATGATTAAAGCAGCTTTAAATTCAAGTGATATTGTGGTGATCAGAAAATGCTATGAAATGTCCATGTGCATGAATCTATGAAATATTTCTTGAGTTGAACGTGGTTGGCAGGGTGGATTGAAATCCCCAGTTTTGTCTGGATTCGGGGTGACGACGGTAACCTAATGGTTAAGAATCAGTACTGGTAAACCAAAATTTGCAGGTTCAACCTCATGAAGGAATCACAGCAATCCTGTGATTCCTACTTTACTGTTGTCATGTCATAAAGCAGACCATTTAGTGGTGCAGACCCTGCCAATTCTTTTCTAAAAACTGCCTTGAATGAAAAATAAGTTGCATAAGACCCATTTACTGAAAATAAAGGCACCCAGTCCCAAACTTCATCATGAATAGACAGTTACCATAATGGGAAATCACTTTAATATACCCAGCCTCTTAAAAATACAATTCAGTGCACTCATAAAACCTTCATGCGTTTTTCCTTCAACATTCTTTTTTCTTCATTCAAACAAACTGTGACAATGATGGGACTACTTTGAAATTAAAATACATGAATCATCACAGAGAAAAATTACAAATAACATTCCTGTCATGTTAAAGGAATAGTTCACTTAAAAATGAAAATTTGCTGAAAATGTACTCGCCCTCACGCCATCCAAGATGATTAGATTAGTTTGTTTCTTTATTGGAACAGATTTAAAGAAATTCAGCATTACATCACTTGCTCACCAATGGATCCTCTGCAGTGAATGGGTGCCGTCAGAATGAGAGTCCAAACAGCTGATAAAAACATCACAATAATCCACACGACTCCAGTTCATCAGTTAACATTTTGAAGTGAAAAGCTGTGTGTTTGTACGAAACAAATCTATCAAGATGTTTTTAACTTCAAACCGCTGCTTCCGGCTAAAATACTCTAAGAGACTTTCTCTGGTAAAAAAGTTGTCTGGTCTGAATCAGGGGAGAAATATGCACCGATCAAGCACTGTTTACAAGCAAAAACAGTCTAAACCATTTCTAAACAAATATTTTGATGTTTTTAATCAGCTCTTCTGACGGCACCCATTTCTCAAACCTGTTCCTATGAAGTTTACATCACATTTACATCTTGGATGGCCTGAGGGTGAGCTGATTTTCAGCTAATTAAAATGTTTGGGTGAACTATTCCTTTAAGTTTCCATCAATAATCTTCTAAACACTAAACAATGTCTAAAAAAGCTAAAACAATAAGATAAATATGCTTGATCCAGTAATGCAGTGCTCCATAATAATTCATCATCTGCACATGTATCAGCATGAATTTGGTTTACTCTCAATTCTCATTTTAGTGTTCACACTATTATGAGTTATTATGCATCATTGCACAAATGGTATCACAATGGTAGTGTAACCTAAACATGGTATGGAAAGACATTCATAAAGCGCAGATATTAATTAATGCTATAATACCAATACATACATGACAAACATTTAAGTCATCTTTCATAATGCATATCAACCATTTCATCCCAGCTTTGAGTTACAATCGACATCTCAGTACATCTATACATATATATATATATAGGATGAGGGAGTATAAATAGCGGCATTGTTATCATCGGGATAGCCCAAAATCTCTCAAGAGGAGCCACTGTGTGGGATAAAAAACAGGCCTGAGAGAAGGTCATGGGAGTCAGGCTGTCTACACAAACAAGAGGACAAGAATCGAGATTAGTGTTGAGTTATAGCATTCCAGGGACTTTTAGAACTCTTCTGCATCATTACTGACATTCCTCCAACCATCATCACCTTGACTATTATCGCTATGACACTGTTTACAAAGGCAGGATCCTAGACTTTCTCCATGAGACTGTGAAGGTTGATCTAGAGCAGTGGTTCTCAAACATTTTACAGCGGCGTACCCCCTGGGGCATTTAACATTCTTCTGCGTACCCCCTCTTTTCCACTTAGACCACAGTCACACCTTTTCTATTAAAGGACATTATTTGCCCCTAAAATTGATTTACAGGTGCATTTTTTACCTTTATAGAGGAAAAGATTTTCTATCCTTATTAACTGTATGTCATGTTTTATGCCATATTCTTAACATTCCAAGTGTATTAATATAATAAATAAAGCAATAAATAATGGCAAATCGAAGTGATACTTGTAGATTTAAAAATAAAACCACCAATAGGTGGCGGCAAGTCACTGTCTTTAATGAGCCAGGCGTCGCGTCATTCATTCATTCAGTAACGAAGCAAAAATAGTTATGAATGGGTTATTAATCACTGACTCTCCAAATCGTTCAAAGCCGCAGATTCGTTCACAAATGAAACACTGCTGTATGTTGCTTGGAGACGCACACCAGATGATACGGATTTTGTTGGAACTATTATTTCGTTGCAAAATAGAACAAACATGGCAATATTCTGTTTAAAATGTAGGCTACATTTAAAATGTAAAATGTTCACTTAATATTACCTTTTTATGTGGAACTGTTGTAAAAAGTGTCGCATTTGCCATCGTTTGGATATTCAGAGAAATTTGCATACTGGCTCGAATTTTAAACATGAAAACAATAACTCGCACAGAGTATGTGTCTGTATCGAAGAGAGTTTAAACTGATCTCAATGTACAGTGCGTGTAAATTTTGCTCTTCATGCTATTAAAGGCACAATATGTAATTTTCGCTGCTGGAGGGCACGTATTCAAATGAAACAAATAGACAAAGGCGTAGTTAGATGACGCCGTGACAGTGTGGAATCATGGGAGTTGTCGTCTTCATCCACACAGCCGATGCAATCCGACGGGACTCGGGCAGAAATCATGTGCATGGATGAGCTAATGATATATTAACGTAGTAGAATGAAGCAGGGTGAGGCTGAAAGCCGTCAAAGTGAAACGAGAACGTTGAACGAGCGTGACACATGGCTCGAAAGCAGCGGAGCTTTTATTATGCCACAGTCGACTGCTTCTGCTCCTTCCGGTCGTGCATATGTGGGGGAAAAAAAGCAGTGCTGTTTTATCATACTAAATACATTTGAATGTTCTGTTATAATGCTACTAACTGTCTATTAAAACGCACAACATATTAAAGCGTCTTTGGTGTTTCCATGTTTTCTACAAAACAAACAAAACCAGAAATCGAGGGGTTATGACGTCATTGGCAGGTGACACAATGACACTATAGACACGGTCCGTGTCACTTGCTAAAATTGCTTATTTCTCTGGATTTAAACATTCTTCGAAACATTTGGGATAATAAGTCAGCAAAATATATAACACTTCTTCTAGTGGTTTTTGGATATTTTAATAAAACAATCTTACATATTGTGCCTTTAAGTGAAGATCTACTTATTGAACAGCAGCGTGATTTGCTAAAGCAGCAAATTCAGCGGTCATCCTATCGCATGCACGCTGCTCGTGTGGATCAGTGGATGCAATCAGTTTTGACCGCAAAAGATGAGGTAAGCTGATCGAATATCATGTATTTGACCGTTTACGGCACTCTCATTTTCCTATTTATACATTAGAAGTGGCATTTTGCTTGTCAGAAATACATGTTCGGTTTTACATGTTTAATGTTACTTTAAGTTGGGGAAGAATTAGGCTAAACGATTGCCAAAACTCAGAATTTTGTTTGTGTACCCCCTCCGCCACCTCAGTTCCAATTTGAGAACCACTGATCTAGAGGTCACAGTGTCAAAAACAACATGGAAGCAGTACATACTGCTGCCGTTAGGTGCATAATGCTTTATAGACTGACCCAAGGCCATGTGTCACTGATTATGTGGTCAGCACACTAGTGTGTAGTAAATTAGAAAGTCATGGTTGTAAAATCGATATGAAACAAACAAAAAAAAATCATATAAAACACGAAATGCTGCCCACTTATGAAACTGCAAAGACAGCCTTGGAGGTATAACAATAACACTGCAAAAAAAAATTGTGTTCTTAATGAGTATTTTTGTCTAATCTTCCAGTAAAATTGTCTAAAAATCCTTCAAAGAAGATAAATGCAATTTTTACACACAAAATTTACACTACATAAATAAGACTTGCTTTCAATAATATAAATTTTGTTTTTGAATGAAGTCTCATACTCAGCAAGGCTGCATTTATTTAAACAAAAGCAGTAAAAACAGCAATCTTGTGAAATTACAATTTAAAATAACTCTTTTCTATTTGAATATAGTTTAAAATGTAATTTATTCCTATGATGGCAAAGCTGAATTTTCAGCAGCCATTACTCCAGTCTTCATTGTCACCTTCAGAAATCATTCTAATATGCTGATTCTGAATACATTCGATTCTTTGATTTGAAGTTCATAAGTACAGCATTTATATATTAAACAGAAATAATTTGTAACATTATAAGTCCTGTTTATACTTAAAACAATGAAACAGTGCAGTAAGACAAAATTCACTAATATTTAAGATATAACGAGAACTTATGCAGCAGTGTTGCTTCAAGAAAATTTATCTGGAAGTTCTACTGTAATATTTGACTGGAAAAAAGTCAAGAAATACTCATTAAAAACTTTTTAGCAGTGTAGCATTGACTTTGGTTTCTGTTAAATTGATTCATAATAGCTTTTTGAATACAGGTCCACAAATACTTTAAAATACAGTCTTTCAATTGATTATGGTACTACGATTAAAAAAAACGATTGTAATTTTTTTTATCATCTCTACAAAATAACTAAGTACAATCAGTTGTACTTTGCTATAAAGGCAAAATATGAAATGCAGAATGAAAGCAGTTTAAATGACTGATTCAAGCCTCTCTGTTGTCATTGCGGAAGCCTGGAGAATGAATGTGCTTGAGGGTCTCAAGCCTGTTATTCAAATGACAGCAGGTCAGGGTGGGATTCTTCGTTCTCCAAGTTGAGGGTACGGTAATCCACTGTGCCGTTCCCCAACAATTCCCCCTCAGTGACACCGATGCGGCAGCCCCCTTTCCCTGGACACGGAGTGGAAGCCATTCTAGTTTCTGAGCTGGCCAGTTTCTTTGGGTCCAGATTGTCTTTGTGAATGAGATCTGGAACAGAGAGCAGCAGCTGTGACTGATCGACATCCTCTGAATTTTTCTCATCCATCACCACAGCTGTGGGCTTGTTATTTAGTTCTAAACTGGTCTTCTCCATCTGGCTGTCGACACGGTCGCCGGGTTCTGAAGGTTTCTCAGTGCCGGACACTTCAGGCTGAAGCTCAGCTTTATCTTTGGAGATCTTGTCAGGTGAGGAGATGAAGGAGGATTCTGAGGAGGCTACCACGGGGTCAGAGGATATCATCATGTCCTGGGTGGTCTTCAGGGCCCGTGGGAGACGCTTTTTGCCAGTGGGAGGTGGGGGATCTAGCCGAGGGAAAGAATCCAGGGAGATGTGACTGTGTGAGAGAAAGAAAAAGCAAAGACACAATGTGATCACGCAAGATAGAATGACCACAAAAGATTATTGCAAATGTGTGGCCTGAATTTCCTCACACATGGTGGTCCAATAAGATTTATTCACTTCATTTGAATAAATCTTATTAAAGGTAAATTTTAAAGCACCGATCAAGCCTACAGGGAAAGGGAAAAAAGTAAACAGCAGAACACGCCTTTCTTTTGAATTCAGAGGATCATTTTTAGGCAGGATAAAAAGATGGTCCAAAAGACAGCTGGACAACTCATTATCTTTGCCATATTTCCAATGCAGGGAAGTTGATTTGAATTTTAAACTTTGGATTGTGAAGTTTGTAGTTCACTTAGAATCCTTTTGTGACAAAAACCAGTGGCGGCTCATGGGTTTTAAAATAGAGGAGGCACACTAATTATATTGGTCTGGGATCCCTGCCGATTATTATTATTATTATTTGCTTAACCACTTTAAAATGGCTTTTTGGTTGCTTTTAGTCAGAAAACGTAAAGAAAACGACATACATACAGCAAGATATTATAATTTCACTTACCTGGCCTATCACTTGAAGCAAACATCCATCCCTTCTTAAAAGTCTGTGTTAAAAGAGAGCTGCCTGTTGCGCCATTTAATTAAGCCGACTGCTGTAGCCTATATCCAGCTTAGGCTGTTTTCCCTAAATGTGTATATATACTGTTTGAATGACAGCTTGGTAAATCTGTTGGCGATCAAATATTCAATATCACTACTCATAAGTACTTGGTACATTATCAGCGCAGCGGGAGACGCAATTAGGTCACAGTAAAACTTTTACAATAAGTAGCAATTTTTTGACCAAATCAGTACGTTAGAGTCTTTTCTAAAGGATCATGTGACACTTAAGACTGATGTAATGGCTGCTAAAAACTCATTTGCCATCACAAAAATAAATTAAAAAAAATATATGTATTAAATATTATTTTAAATTGTACTAATATTTCACAATATTACTGTTTGTACTGTATTTTTTGATCAAATAAATACAGCCTCTGTGAGAATAAGAGACTTCTTTCAAAACTCAAACTTCTGAACGGAAGTGTAAAATATATATGTTAATATATTATAACATGTTGAAAAAGGTCAGTGGACAAGAATAGTAGATGCAATGATGTAATTACCTTCTCAAGTCACATGAGCTGCTCACAGTCATTTAGTGACACTTTCTTGTAGTGAATGTTCCATATTAAATATCCCATGATAACGGCACAATTCCCTCAATAATGCCACATATCTGTGCAATAATAGCCTTACTAGACATGATAAGAAGTTGGTTTCTTGTAAATGCATGATTTAATTTATCATTTTATGAAAGTGGAATTTGCACTTGGTCTGTTGAAGATATGAATGTTGATGAAAGCCATAAAGTCTATGGGTCTTTTTCACCCATTTTAACATCCGCCAGGTAAAAAAAAAATCAGCTCTCCTCATCAGGCCCCTCAATTTGAGGTATTATTCCACAAATCGTGAAGCTTGGGTAACAAGTACTACTTATGTTTTGTCTTTCTAGCACTAACTCCAAGTAGCAATGTCTTTCAATGATGGTCTTAGCAAGTTCTACTAATTATGAATATAAAGGCATTATTTTCCACAAATTTTATGAGCAGGCATAATAAAAAGCTGGAAGGAATGTGTATAATAGATGTTACACAACTGGTAAGATTCCAGCCAATTAAGCCAAACCCTCGACGCAACACACACACACAGACTCACACAAACAGACACATGTATATTCCCTTGAAGGCTGCTGATAATGAATGCAGTTGCAGTAGGGCTGCATGAAAAGCTTTTTTTCCCCCCTCTCAAAGAGATGTCAGTCAAATCTTTCCTGTAACTCATGGTGTTCACAAATAATAACAGAGCTCAAAGACATTTCTCCTGTTTTCACATTCACTGCTGCGTGCACCATCAGGCTGAATTAATCAATTAAGCAAAAGCTTAAACTAGGACAACATGCTGCTATAATGCGTGCTGGAGAGAAATGGGCAGGAGAAAAGTAACTACTCGTCTGTGGTTTCACGTGATTGTCTGCGGTAGCACACCAATAGGGCCATCTGACATCTGAAAGAGATAACTGATGCCCAAACCACTAAGCACTTCACTGGCTGACACGTTACTTCATCTGCTAAAGCTACAATACCCAGACTAATTCTATTATGTTTGTGAGTAGTATCAGCCTCAGACGGGCCACTCATGGCCCACCCACAAAACTTAAATACTCAATTAGGTTGTCTAACTGCAAAACATCTTCAGCAAAATCATGTTTAAAAAGTATTTTTGTACAGTCTATTATTCTAGTATAATCCATTTCAAATTGATCTGTCCTGAAAATGCAACTAAAAACAAAGCAATCTATGGCTGGTCAGGTTACATGTTATTCAGACAGGCTCGTCCTGTCTAAGTGGGTAGTTTTTGGCCAAAACACGTAAAAACTGGACCAGATTTTATGCTGAAAATCACAAGTATGGTTCTGTAAATCTAGATTTTGAGTGAGGAAGAGAGAAAGTAGTAGGATGTACAGCAAATGTTCAGCTCCCAATTTTGTGTGTGACGCAGTGATCATTGGTTTTGATCCTTCTCCACAGGGCTGGACATTATCATGTAGCTCGTGGCTGCAGTTTAAAATACCTCACTGAGGCTCCGCCACAGTAGCAAATGTTAGGAGGGTATCTGACACACTGCTATTCTGGGCTGGTTTATGAGCTCCTGATGTGTCCCAGCAGGAACACCTCTGGACCAAACACTGTCCAGCACACACACATGTACGCGCCGCATGGGTTACAGGGTTGCCACTGTTTGACCAATGAATTTCCATATTTCCAGTTAAGTTTAGTGCACACTAAAAAAAACATCAAAAAAAGCTTGAACTTGAACAATTTTAATTGTTTTAATTAAAATTTTTAATTACATTTTAAAATTATAATATAATTCTAAAAATTATAATAAAATTCAAAAAAGCACATCCTATTGGATATGATATTGATATATTTTTATTATAATTTCTAAAATTCTATAAATAATTATTCTAGAAATTATAATTACAATAAAATAATACACATTTTAAAAGTTCTTGGAAAAGACATTTCCTATTTGAGACATTGATGATATTTTTATAGGAAATATAATATAACTAACTATAATATAATCTCAAACTATATAAGAACAGTGTTACAATTAAGGTGAGACCAAATAGCAGCATTGAACACAAAAACTAGATGTGGAGATGTTATTATGGCAATGTTCTGCTACTGAAGAGAAAAAAATAACAGTGAACATAACAGGAGACAATGCCCCCATTTTCATTCAACTTCAAATCTCAGATCAATAATCAATCAAAGGTTCCGCCACATCAATGTCAAGCAGTAACATGCATGCAATGCAGCTATCTGGAAGTTTACCACTGATGAAATAAAGAGATTTGTAGCAAGTAGACTGTGATTCCAGATAATGACAGCTTTTATACTTGATCGACAGTCATGTGTCATTGAAGAAATCATTAGAACCTGATTAGACTCACGGTGCGTAACGGCACATTCTGTGAAATATAGCTAATTAATTTAGTTCTTTTAAGGGCAGTTTTTAATTTCATGGTGTTCCACCCTTGTGGGGCATATAGGAGTTCAAATCAATTGAATTGTATTGGAGTTAACTTTATAATATGAAGGATTTTTTTTCCGGTCAAGTGTGGTGACCGTTCCCCGGATTTCACAATTCACATCTCCTTGGGTATCCTTCTAGGTCATCTAATTTTGTAATCCTGAAAGGAAATGGAATTCGAGTTTACGGTATCTACAATAGATGGAGCTAAACACTTCAAACTAAAGTACCATGGCAACTTCAGGAGAAAGAATGTTCTCAAAAGCCTCCAGAGCGATCAGGTGGGCCCGGGCATCAGCTTCTAATTCAGAGGCACCTGAGTTTCCAACAGCTTTACTCAGAAGCGGCAGCCGTACTAAAATGAGATGTGATATTATGCAGTTTGAATTACGCCACAGGGAGAAGGATCAATCCGGCAGCCGCTCGTTTCCCTGAGCGTGCAAAGATGAGACTGGGACGCTCCAGAATATCCTTTAAATTGCACAGCGATTCAGATGGTGTTCTCTGCACTTGTTGGTTTTGTGAGCTCTACGTGTTTTAGTGGTTATTTTTATTTCTTGAAGCAGCTGTGCGTGCATGTGTCATCTGAAGTGGTTCCATTTGCGTGCCATCGATTCTTGGAATCGCAGAACGACTGAACCACAGTTTAAGTAGGAAAGTCAATCAACTGTATTCACAATGGATTTATGTGTAACTTAACTAGTGTAAACTTAGAGAAGGCTGCCGAAGTAATGCCAGTTTGTGTAGCCATTTTTAAAAGCTAGTTCAAATGGTCCAGTAGTTCAACTTGGTGCATGCCATTGAACATTCACTGAGAATGACTCTCACACTGAATGAACATTCACACAGTGACACCGCAGCGCTCTTAAAAATGACAGAACTCATTTTAAATGGCTTTGAAATGAGTCATATACTTTGAAAACCTGCAGTAACCTACAGGAGGGATAATTGGTGGTTTATTATTCGTGTCACCAAAGGCTGTTTTGTGTGGAATAATTACTGAAAATAATTTAAAAAAGGTAACACTTTATTTAAAGGTGTCCTTGTTACACACGTTACATGTACTTGCTATTATAATAACAATTAATTATGTATAATTACATGCAAGTAACCCTAAGCCAAACCCTAATCCTAAACCTAACCATATAGAAAGTACATGTAGTTAATTAATATTACTCAGTACTTAAATGTATAATTACCCTGTAACAAGGACACCTTAAAATAAAGTAACCAAAAAAAAAAAAAAAAACGTGGCCAGGATTCAAGGACAAGGTCAATGAAGACAAAATTTATTTTAAATAATTAGCTGTGCTTCCCCAGGCATCAGTATCATATAAAAACTTTTTAGTAGAATATGCTTGTGTAAAATAAATGTGTAAAAGTAAAAGTTTAGTAGAATATGCTTGTGTAAAAGGGTTCCTTTACTGGTTTTCATGCAGTTGCTATGCAGTTGCTAGGGCAGTTCTAAGCAAATTACTTTTTTTTTTTAATTAAAAGAGCCCACTGTCAAAATTTCAAAAATGCAACAGAAGTAGCAACAGATCTTTTTTTCAGCTTGTGACACATTCAAGTGAACAGAATATTGAAAAAATAAAAGAAATAAAGAAATGGAGGGTGGGACTTTGCTTTATCAGTCGGTTGTTGATTAAATGGAAGCAGATTGGTTGAATGCGCAGTTGTAAACAGACAACTGAAAGAAAGGGGCAGTTTAAGCAGACTATAGCAGTCTAGAACAGTGTTTCCCAACCGGGGTGCCGTCTGTCGAGAGCAGGGGTGCCGTGTAAAAAAATATTTTTTTAATATTTTTAAATTGCTAAAATATTCAAAAAAGCATCTATTATATAATATCCATTTCTGATGTCGCCAATAATTAGAGATGCACCGAAATTTCGGGTTGCCGAAAATTAGTTCACTGCTCAGGTTTCACTTTCACGTGGTGTGACGCTCTGCGTATTATCCCGCTCTATGCGTGTGCGCTCCGCTCAGTCGCTCCACTCGTATAACGTTCATGCGAATCGGAACAGCAAAGTCCACTCAAAAATTGAGCCGACAGGAAACATCGATGTAGTACAGTATTGTTTCTGTCTGCAATAGCCCTACTGTGTGTAACATGATGTGTGGTATATGGGCAACTCTGGTAACACTGCCCTCTCATTTATTGATCTGCTAACCGCTATTTTATGCTCACGTGTTCTGATGATAATAATAGCTTTCTAGGACTAAACATTATTTGGATAATTGGTAAAAAAAAAGAAAAAAGTTAAATATCTCAACCCTACTGTTAGGCAAGGCAAGGCAAGTTCTTTTAACGACAAGGCCTGTCGTTATTTTATTTGTGCTATCATTATTAATTTCTTTATTTGTTCTTATTTTATTACTGACTGCTTACTTGTCATTTTGTATTCAAATCAAAGTTTGAAATCAATCTATCTCGCACCAAAATTACCCCACTGTAAAATAAAAAAAACACTGAGTGAGCAAAAATTTGTGAGATAGTTAGATATAATGGTAATTAAATAATGTTTACATATGTATAAAAGCCTACATTAAAATATGTCATATAAATTGGTATCTTCATTAGAAATTAGCCTATTGATTGCCACCATTGATGGACAATTTTTTTTAATAATATTAAAAATATCTGTATGACATTATATTCTGCAGTTCTTCCCTGTTGTACCGAATATCTATACTTTTCAAATTATCATATCAAAGTTAGAAATTCAAATATTGTGACAAAATTAATTTTGTAGGGTGCCACAAGTTTGTTAATTTCCAAAGGGTGCCGCGACTAAAAAAAAGGTTGGGAAACATTGGTCTAGGATATGTCAGAAGATCTAATCAACTGGGGAAAGTCGTGGCCTAATGATTAGAGAGTCGGACTCGTAACCCAAGGTTGCGGGTTTGAGTCTCGTACCGGCAGGGATGGTAGGCTGGGGGAGTGAATGTATAGCGCTCTCTCTCCCCCCTTCAATACACGGCTGCCCATTGCTCCGGGTGTGTGTTCACGTTGTGTGTGTGTGTTCACTGCTGTGTGTGTGCACTTTGGATCGGATAAATACAGAGCACTAATTCCGAGTATGGGTCACCATACTTGGCCACATGTCACATCACTAATTTAATCATGACATTTTGATGAAAAATTATGAGGTCAAAGAAAATTAAAACAAATTATATGGATATGGACATGGATAATTCATTCAAAGGATCAACAACATGCATTTATAGAATAGATGAATTTTCATTTCATACTGTTTTATCAGCTGATGCAAGCTTGACTCACGTGACCTGCCAGAACTAACGCTAAAGCTTAATTTTTGGTCAGATTAAAGCAATAATGCTTCCCCCCCCCCCCTAAAAATAATGTATATGTTTTAGTCTGACTGAAAATCATACCAGACCAGTTTTTGCAAAGTTGGACTAATAGACAGAAAATGCAACTGTAGATCAGCTTTGTCCAGCATGTATACGCTTCGCCACTGGCAACATGTATTTAATCCTTCAAATATTTTGATTACTCAATGGTTAGACAGATGAAGACTATAACTGAACTATGAACTTGAATCATGCTTGATATCACTGGAGCCATGATATGACTTCAATGTAATTCTATGGATTGTTTTTTTTTTTTACCCATTTTATTGTTAACCTTGCAAAAATCATGTTATTGGCGAGAGATGGAACAGCCACCTCTCCTCAAAAAGCAGCATGATTTGAGGTCTCAAGCCTGTAATTAAAAACTGAAATCAAAATCCCTAACTTGAGTAAAATAGTAGTAGCAATATGCGCCTTAGCAAACAGCACTTATACAAACATGCTGTGTCCTTGAAGGAGGAGAAATCAGGAAAAAAAATAAAAAAATACTGGTCTTGTGTTCAGACAATGACACGTTTCCCTGTGGAGGATTTAGACCACAGCTCAGAGCTGGGTCTTGTCCTCCAGACCTGCTGCCAGTCAACATGACTGGTCATGAATCCCTCATTAGAGACACGGCGAAGAATCTGTGGGAAGATTTTTTACAAGCCTGAAGAAGATTTAAAGATGGCAAATTCTTACATTTCGAAATAAAAAAAGATATTAGTGCATAAATGGAGGAAAATACCGACGTTTAAGACTAAACCAACAACAGAAAGTGCTTTCGATGTCCTTTGTGTGTGGGAAGACTTGCTTACCACTCTATTATTACCAGTCTAATTGTGTGCACTTGTCTGCCTCTAAATGACACTGGGCACACAGAGAGAAACAGAGGAAGTGAGAGGGAAAACTGGAAAATATAAACAGAGGTTAAAGAGTCAGAGTAGTTTATCAGAGAGATACAGTTTAGACACCAAAATATCACTTTTTAGAAGCACAGAAAAAAACCGAAATGCAAGCACTCAAAATGTGTACAAAAGTTAGTATGTGAAGCAGTCAGACACAACAAGCTCTTTTGAGTATGATAATAACGAATAAAGGATGTGATTTGTGAAAACTCTGACACTCTAATTGTGGTTCCTGTTGGTAAAGATCTGACCGGTTTAGACGCCTCGCTACCTTTAGGGTATAATTAGCTTAGCATCCTCAGTCCACAGTCACTCAATTAAGAATCTGTTCTGTCGTGCATGCTAAAACAGGTATAGCTTGGTTATTGTCTTCATTCTGAGCACTTCTGATGAAAGGTGATCTAAGTGGCTGAGCATATTAGCGCAAACATGCCTAATACTGCCCAGAAACAAACCCGCAACTGTACAACTGATGTGATAGATACACTATCACAGGCTAATGTATAAAATCTGTTCTACATTTCACTTCATATAGATGTACTGTATTTCTTGCAGTTAAAAACAACCACTTGTTTGTGAATAAGCAGCAATTGCTTGAAGACTTTAAAAGAGTGTTAACACATACAGCAGTTGGCAACGACATATATACAGTCGTGGCCAAAAGTTTTGGCAGTGACAAAGTTTGCAAAGTTTGCAACTTAAAGTCTGCGCGAACCGGAAGTTGCTGCCGACTTTATTTCAGTGTAGTGACGTATTTCCAGCTGAAATGGAATATTGAATAGAGGGCATGGTTTTATGTTTGCGCTCCTCCTCTCTGTCTCTCACTCATAGCAATCTAACGGTTGGAGGGGTGTGTTTAAGGATATTCTGCCCAAGCCGTCAAACTGACGTCATCAAAAAAGGAATGCCATTCCAGAGCGGAAGTAAATGTTCAGATTTTGATTAAAGATTACGAAGACAAACAATTTTTTTTCAGCGGATTAACTTGCACGGATTCATTATTTACATCAAGATTAGCAATGTGCGCTAGTAAAGTAAATAAAGTCAGTTTTGATTTCATGCGAACTTTAAGCTGTTGTGGTGTTCATTTACATTGTTTCTAGATTATTGTGTAGAGTGATCAGATGCATTTTAAATAATTGCTAAAAGCTTCATTGGCCAAAAAAATTTACGTTTCACAAAAAAACTAATTTCACTGTTTTTTGATCCTGACACAAAATGACCAGCTAACATTTATTGACTAATCATATCAGCAGCACATGTGAAAGTGTGAATGAGTACTAGTCAGGTGAAATCCCTATAATACTAAATGGATTGTAAGAGAAGACTGATTGCTATAAAAGGAGGGAAGAAGCAATTCCAATCATTGTGTTCTTGTTAACAATGGTTACCTCCTAAGAAACACGTGCAGCCATCATCGCTTTGCATCAAAATGGCCTCACATGTAAGGAAATTGCTACAAAGAATATTGTACCTGAAAGAACCATTTACCGGATCATCAAGAACTTCAAGGAGAGAGGTTCGACTGCAGTGAAGAAGTCTTCAGGACGTCCCAGAGTGTCCAGCAAGCGCCAGGACCGTCTCCTCCTGAGCAGTCAGCTACGGAATCGTGTCACCAGCAGTGCAGAGCTTGCTCAGGAATGGCAGCAGGTTGGTGTGAAAGCATCTGCACGCACAGTGAGGCCAAGACTTTTGGACAACGACCTGGTGTCAAGAAGGGCAGCAAAGAAGACACTTCTCTCCATGAAAAACATCAAGGACAGACTGAAATTCTGCAGGAAGTACAAGGATTGGACAGCAGAAGACTGGTTATTTTCTCTGATGAAGCTCCCTTCCGACTGTTTGGGACATCTGGAAAATCGATTGTTCAGAGAAGAAAAGGTGAACGCTACCATGAGTCCTGTGTTGTGCCAACAGTGAAGCATCCTGAGACCATCCATGTGTGGGGTTGCTTTTCAACCAAGGGAGTGGGCTCTCTCATAATTCTGCCCAAAAACACTGCCATGAATAAAGAATGGTATCAAAATGTCCGGTAAGAGAGACTTCTTCTAACGATCCATGAGCAATTTGGTGATGATCCGTGCATTTTCCAGCATGATGGAGCACCATGTCACAAAGCAAGAGTGATAAAGAAGTGGCTCGAAGATCATTGCATTGAAATTTTGGATCCGTGGCCAGGCAACTCCCCGGATCTTAATCCCATAGAGAACCTGTGGTCAGTCCTCAAATGGCGAGTGGACAAGCAGAAGCCCACAAATTGTGATAAATTCCGAGAACTAATAATCGCCATCAGTCAGGATTTGGCCCAGAAGCTAATATCCAGCATGCCAGAGCAAATTGCAGAGGTTATGAAGAACAAGGGTCAATACTGTAAATACTGACTCATATTGTTTTGCCAATAAAAGCCTTTAAAACTTATGATATGCTTACCATTGTTTTTCAGTATACCATGTGGAAAAAATAATCTACAAATACTGAAGCAGCAAACTTTGCAACACACAAAATGTATGTCACTGCCAAAACCTTTGGCCATGACTGTATATATACTGGACTGTTCAGAAGTAGGGAAGGCCATTATAACCAACAATGTATCCACTTGGTGACCTTTTTTTGATAAAATCACTGAGTGCGTGAACGTTCCATTAGAGATACAAGATTCTGACATCTGATGTGTGTCCCTAAACTTTAAAATGGAGACAAGAGTATTTACTATGCTTTGGGACGGTTTGCTTTTCAATATATGACATAAAATGTGACAAACAAAATGGGTTAAAGTCACCTTGGTCCCCCAAAATTATTAGCAGTACAAACAGCAGTAGATGGTTTGACAATATTGACATTGATTGACTTGAACCTTTTAAGCAAAGCATCAAGCAGTGTTTTTCTAAGTGCGCAAAATCACATTAAACAGCAATTTCATCCTCCAAGCAGTCAGAGGGGCTGTGTTTGTTGAGCACATTGAGCAGACGTAGGGTACTCTCGTCCTGCTGTCCCCAGCTTTCATCACTTTCATCTGTGTTTGACTCGTACTCGGATGTGATTCCCGACTCGCGGAATTTTAGTAGCTCAAGGCTACCCAGAAGCTCGTCCCGTGATGAGGGCGAGACACCTTGGGATGGCGTGTCAGGACCCTCCTCCTGTTGGGGTGGTCCCGGAAGAAAGCGGAAACACTCAAACTTGATCAAGCACTGGTCCCTACCTATTGGACTGCCCAGCGGCAGGGATAGCTGTGTCCCATCGTTGAGTGGAGGAAGGATGGCGTCCTCTGGTCTGGGGGTGGTGGGGTCACACAGAACTGGGGGCACATTGGCACGGAAGGTGATTTCCAGGAGACTATCTTGAGATCCCACTGTTAAGAGAGAGGAAGAGATAGGGGGCTTTTTACACTTGGTTCATTTCAAGGGTCTGAGAACGGTTTACATGAATTTTGACATCTGAATGCTCCAAATTCACTTTAAGCAAACTGAAAAGAATCAAGGCCTCCTAAAGAATAAATAAATACATATAAATAAATATATAACATTTATCTAGTCTTCAGTGTCACATGATCTCTCAGAAATCATTCTAATATGCTGATTTGATGCTCAAATGTGCTGCTTAATAGTTTTGTGAAAAACTTTTTTCAAAAGAACAGCATTATATCTTTTAACATTATAAAGGGCTTTACTGTCAATTTAATGTACCCTTGCTGAATAAAAGTTATTGACCTTCATTTTTTGAATGGTAGCGTATAATCATAGACATTATAAAATTATTTAAAATATAATATAACATTTAAAAATGTTATAAAATAATACATTCAGAAACTTTTTATGGTCTAAATGATAATTTAATATATAATATAATATGTAAAAAACATATATAAAGTAAAAACAAACCAAAACTTTTGCACAACTAAAGGTTTGGAGGTTAAATGTAACGCAGTGTGAAAGTAATTACAACAGAAACAATACTGTTCTGTTCTAGGGTTGTCAAAAGAACCGACGTCGGTACCAAATCGTTACTGAAATTTTACAAAAGTGACGATACCAGCATTTCCCCCTAGCATTTTAAGCACTGTTGAGTGGATTCTTAAAAATTTCTGATTCGCTGTTGGCGAATGGAACCATAGTCAACAGTAAGTTACTGGCTGACCACTAACTACTGAAAGTATCAACCATCATTCTCAGTTTTAAACATTTTGTTTTACTATAGGTTCTCTTATACCTTTGCAAATGATTGTTTCAAAGTACCGTAGTACTGTACTGATTTAAAATAAAACTGGGGTTCAGCCTTTCCACTCTTTTCTCTGTGGATGTCATCTGCCTTCCTTCATATTATATAATGCTTCACAATGTCAGTTCTGCTCCACTTTTAACCTTTTCTTCTGCTCCAGCAGGTTAATAACAGTGCTCCTACCCTTGCAACACATCCTCACTTGCCCTCTCTGAATAGATCTGATGCGTTTCAGCAGCTTTCTTTCAGTCTTGTCTTTTCACTCAGACCCTCCCATCTGTTCCACCTCTCTCTATATCCCATTCAACTTCACTTTGCCTTTTAACTTCTCTCCCATCATGGCACTCCACAGGGGTTAATTAAAGCACACTTTCAAATTGAGCAGCAACACCTGAAGATGTGCTGTCTTTCACATTAGCCTGCATGATAAAGAGCTCTCGTCACACATTCCAACTGTCACACTAAAGTCACCTTGTAAAAGCGTCTGTAAATGGCTGTCAAATCTCTTCTTACGTCCTCTTTAATGATGACACCATATTTTACTCTGAAGTGAAAGTTAGAATCTAAGACCAGCATCATTATCAGGATGTTTTCATAGTTAGACCTCTTTAAAATAATAATAATAATATTAAAAATAATAATATTAGTATTACTAATATTATTATATGAATAATACATTAACATTGAGCAATTTAATAATAATAATAATATATCAGTCCAAATTAGGGCTGTGAATTATAACATGTTAACTTATTGGGATTAATTAAATTAAGATTCATGAGATTCATTTAGGAACTATCCATATAAATTATAATTAGATCAATTAGAACAATTCAGGTTTTTGCACAAACAAACAAACAAACAAACCCTAAACATTATATACTTAAAGCTGCAGTCCGTAAGTTTTGCCTCTTTGTCGCCATCTCTGTTTGAAAACCTGGAATTGCAGCTGTGTGCGGAATTATCTCGCTTGCGTGGGTTGTGAGTCGGCACGGCTCCAGCGCGGATGAATCTAATGTTCTGAAGAGTGTGTGGCAGTCAGTCACCGCACCGGTGTGGATATTTACTGTACTTCACAATCACAGATTCTAGCCTACGTCTTGGAATATATGACCCAAATAAGAATTTTCACCGTATATTGCCATCTGGACAAGTAACAAGTTTGCCACGTTTGTTCTGACCAACTGAGGAAAAAAGCATTACCATAAATCTAGCTACTAATGGTGATTAAATCTAAAGATCGTTTAGCTCATATCACATCAAACCATTCAAATTATTATTATTGTTATACTTTATTCTCAAATGATTAATGTTAACAACATCAGCATTGGTGACTGAGTATAGTGTGTATTAGCAGCATGTAGATTTTGATTTCTGCACAGTCTAATCTAACTGTCATACTCTTCAAATTTCATATCAAGAAATTATTTGAACCCAAAAAGCTAATTATGCTTCCCTTCGAACTGGTTTTCTTTAAAATACAAATCTTTGTAATCCCAGGCTATCTGTAATCAGAAGCACTTTTATAACTGGAATATAATTTAATTTCATTCACATGCGTTTCATAAACACATAATCCCTTCTGGATTACAATCCGCCATCAAAATGATACATTTACTTATTCTGGCTGCTGTGAGAAAAGGCTATAAACGATCCGCCACCTGCAGGATCCTCACATGCGATAGCCTAGTAGCCGGGACAACTTCTTTATGTTTACAGACGTGACGTAATGACGCAGTGCCATGCTCGAATTTCCCGCGAAAACCTACCCGTACCACTCAAATTAACATACAGTGTGAAAAGCAACCGAAATATAATACTATTGTACTAAATGCACAGCTTGAGGATGTCAGTAGATTAAAAATGAAATGTGAATAATTGTATTATGACCTTTTTCTACTTAATTTAACAACACTGACTATAAATAAATTTTTGCATACCAAATTTAATGCATTTATCTTTTAACAACTAATAAAACAATAAAATATGTTTTAATGGATGCAGAAGATCAAGAAAAGATGCTTTACTGATTACTTATTACTGTTTGTGCTTATTCTTCCATTATTAAGGGTTTTAAATAGGGCACAATTAAAATCTGCAACAATGCAGGTTTTTGAAGCTACTCCCTAGCTCTGCTGAACACAGGGAATCATACTCACTAGAGCCATTCCCAGTCAGCTTGAGCTCCAGTTCCTGAACCTGTTTGACCAGGAGAGAAATATGCTGCAGTAGGTCCTTATTCTGCAACAGCAGCTGGTGAACTCGAGCCTGGGCCTCAATCCTCGCCGCAGCTTCTGCAGAGAGCTGATCCTTCAGCAGATGAACCTGAGGAACAAACCAAAGTTTGCGTGCTTCAGCAGAATGTACTACAAACCAACAACACAGAGACCTCCAGCATTTCATATGCTGTATTTTCCTAAAGTCACCCCTACAAAAGACAAAAAAACTGAAACTGGCTCAATTTACTTTTCACCACAAAAGCATTATGCAAATTTAAAGAGATCATTTTAAAATGTAAAAGAATAAAAATCATTAGTTTTTCATTTGATTAAACTTTTAAGCCATTATTTCATAATTAATTCCAGAATTTGGCTTTATTCAGCTTTGGAAGTGTATGTCTGAAAACAATGGAATCCTGTCTGGCTTCAAGAGTTCAAGGAAATGAAAATATATATTTTTTTCATTGTTATTCTAAGAATTTCAAAGTCCTACTTGAATTCATATATTCATGTAAGGTCAAACATCTCTAAAAGATCTGTAACTATAAGCATCCCATTTTGCAACTTGTTATGCATTTCTATTTAATATATTTTGAATGCATTTATATTGAATATGAAAAATTGATGGCAAACTTTGTAAAGTGTCACTACGAAGGTCATCCCATTTAGGTAGTCGCCGTTTATGCAAATTAAAGTGTTTTCATCCGAAAAGCTTCTTTAACACCACATCATTAAAGAAATTTAAGTTGATTTGAGCAACAGCAGAAGGACACATGTCTGTTATATCGGTTTAAAATAATAATAATAATCATAATAAAATAAAAAAAATAATAATTTGAATATTTCAATATTTTAATATTCAGTTATATAGTTTATAATTAAATCAGAGCATTATTTTTCTGCCACAAAATGCAGAAATGCACAATGCAGGTTTTTGCAAAAAATTACATATAAATATATCAAAAATAACAAATAAACAAGCCATTAAATATTACGGATAAATATTATCACTGAATACACAGCTGTTTAATTAAGTAATAATTCACTTAAATCAGCCTAGGTAAAGGAATTAGCTAGAATAGACTAACAATCCTCAATTTTCATTAGTACCAGAAAAAGACACATAAGGCAGTCCAGAGTCCACCACACATTTTGTTATGAATTACTGCTTGGTTTGTCCGGCTAATGACAAACGGCTAGCTATAAAGGTTTCCACAGCGATTATGATGCACCTGAGTGTCCTTCATAAGTCCTAAGTTTCTACCCAGCGATAGACGGCCAAATCCATTTTTGCCAGTGGCTTTTCCTGAGCACCGTCTAAGTGTCTTTTTGCTCTTAAAGCCACTGTGGCTGCCCTCCAAGGGGTCCGCGGTGATTTATTACCTACCTTATTACCCAGCTGCCTGCCCTTAAGAACAATACATTCTCTAGACAAAGCCAATGAGCTGTCAAGATCAGGCCAGCAGGGAATAGCGCAAAAGATCGAGGGGAAAAAATGACCATACTGTAAATGTGGACTGAAAGCTTAGTTCAGGTTAAGCTCCTTGTCATCAGTTCTTGAGTGCACGTGCTTGTATGTATGTGTGTGTGTATGTTTTCTGACAAAGAGTGATTGTCTTTGGGAAAATAGCCGCCTACCATGACAAAAGATGCTGTTTTCAAAAGGATATAGGATGTAAATGTATAAAAGCCTCATATTTCATACTGTCATAGCTTTATATCTCAATCTGAGTGGGCCACATTCATCAGCAAGGCAAGTCAGGGAAATGTTGGAGCCCAAATGTTTTGATGATCATCATTTTCCTCGGTGACATCAAAAAAAGCAGTATTTCTTTTCCTTGTCTTTAAGTAAACAACAAAAGCAGCAATAAATAATTGTTTAACGTCAACGCATTGCCATGGCGATCAGTTATTCTTTGTTTCAATGTCAAGTGTACTAATTAAGATATTAAAGGTCCACTGTTCAATTATGGCTGGGAATGAAAAGAGTGAGAACAGTAATATTTCTGACTGTATGATGGGAATGATCAACATTAATTTCTGGCAGTAATATTAGCGTATAGTGTGAGAAATATTAGCTAAAGTGCTGTTGTAAAAAAAAAGTAGAGGTTAAAGTAAATACAACAATCTCTTTCAACATCAAAAACACAAACAACTTAAGCAGGTCTGAAGTCTCTAAGCTGAAGTTAAATGACAAATTGTAGTTACTTTTTAAACCCCAAACTGACATTTGAAAACAAAAAAAGTATCTTAAATAGGGATGCACCGATATGAAAATTTTGGCCGATACCGATAACCGATTATTCTTTATTTTTGAAAGCCGATAACCGATATGTTGGCCGATAAATCTATATCCAAATTGTTATATACTTTTTGAGAGCCTGATTACAAAAAAGGTCTCATCATTAAAAGCCACATCCCAAACACTTCAACATAAGCAGCCTAGTTTGAACGGTGTACGTTTTAAAAATATTTTTACTCTCCCATTACCAAATTTAGTCATAAAAGTCTTATTTAAACCTTAAAATGTAAGCAGCAAAATGTAAAAAACAAAATCAAAACAACACCACCACCACCACCAAACCAAACCAAACCTAACCAAACAAATCAGAGCCTTGCAATCCTTCTAGTTTTCTGGATTCAAGTACATGGGTAAGGAATGCTAAATGTTCACACCCATAAATCTCACATTTACATTGTTTTCTAAACCCTTTTCAATGCGTTCTCAAGAGAGCAGATTTAATAGCACTATAGGATGTCACTAAATGATTCACTTTCACTGACATAATCTAGAGAGTTCTAAAAAAAAAAAAGGACATTTGTGTGATTCATGTACTAACAATCTATATAATCACACATTTTTAAAGTGGAGACTTTCATGACCATATTAAATTTCAACGCACAAATGTAAACTTTTTTTCTTCCACTGCACTGCAGTCATTACAAGGTTTTTATAGGGCTGTTTATTCCATTGTTTCTGCCCTCAAACTGCACAAATTACATCAAATAATTCAGTGCTGATTTTCCCTTAGATACCCAATTGAAAGCTGCAAAAGGGCATGAAAAAAATAAGTGGAAATCAAGCAGTGCTGAAATACGAAGCACTCAAAGAGGCTATCTTCCATAAACCCTCTGAGTATGTGTGTGTATATATATATATATATATATATATATATATATATACACACACACACATCTTATTTTTTTTACTACACAAGAAAAAAAAAACACTCCAGCAACCATAATAAGGCTTTTATTTGAGAGAAACCACACTTGACTCTGCATGCAGTACTAGAAATTAATCACTCAGATTTATAATACATTTTGCCTGAATTGCTCTCATAAAGCATCTGCAATGTACGAACATGTAAAACTGATTTTTGGGAGATCTGACGTGGGCATCGTTTTCAGGACACGGCAGGAGCCAAATGTGTTTGAATCATTTTATCTGTACTGAACTGACTAGGGGAATCTTCCACCAGAATATGATTAAAAGCAACCCAAAACACACCAAAAACCTTCCTCCACAAATAACCCACTCCACTGATAATCCTGACTTCAGAAAAGCAAATATCGTTTCATCTGCCGATCATTTTCCCTAAGGATGAGAGCCACTTCAAAACAAATGGAGAAATAAATTAATAAGCGACAATTGACTTGCATGTGTCGCTTTGATAGCGTACTTCAAAGTGTCTCTTCTCCTTCAGTGACTGAAGACATCACAGCAGCCACAGCAAAGCCCCAGCTTGTTTCTCTTCAAGCGTGTTGTTGCAAATTAGGGTCTCTTTTCAACTGGCTGCCTTTGCTTATCAGAGTTCTGACAGGACGGACATCCCTGACTATCCCCAACCCACCTCAAAGCGACATGCAGACACAAAGATGTGGGTCAAAGGAGCGTGGAGCAAAATTCCACCGCCTGTAACACCATTCTCAGACCTGTGAAGAGTGCCAAGTGCCTTTCATGCAAAACAACAACAAAAAAAACACTTTCTTAAGAGAGAGTGGCTGAGCATTATGCTTATGAAAGACAACTGCTTTCTCCTCTTGCCAAACACTTAATATAGAACTGTGGCTAAACAAGCAAACCAAAGGCTCTCAAAGGCTGAATAAATAAACCAGTCTAGTGCCAGAAAGAACAAACATGCTTCAGACACACAAGCTGTTATGTGCACTCCAAGCCTTTCACAACCAGTTCTAATGTTGGGATTTGTAGCTAAAAGAGTTTAATTTGTAGAAAATACTTTAAATTAGAGGCAACAGTTACTACAAGAAATAGACTTTCTTTAAACTCAGCAAACACAAACAAAAAATACATTAAATAAATAAATATTATAAATACAATACCCCCCACACACATACACTCTACCATTCAAAAGTTTGTTAAAAGAGTTGGTCAGTAATATTTAGCACTTTTATACAGCAAGAATGAAGTCAAAGTAAATAAAGTTTACTTTATCAAAAGTCAAAGTAAATAAAGTTATAATTGCTGTAATAAATGCTGTTCCTTTAAAGTTTTTATCAATCAAATAATCTTGAAGAAGGTATCAGGCTTTCAAAAATATTAATCAATGTTTTTAACATTAATAACAATAAGAAATGTTTTTGCATCATATCAGCATATTAGATTTATTTCTGAAGAATCCTGCGTGAAATTCAGCTTTGCCATCACAGGAAAAAAAAAAACATTTTAAAATATATTAAAATAGAAAATATATATATTTTTATTTTGTAATAATATTTCTCAATATTACTGCTTCTGATCAATTAAATGCAGTCTTTGTGAGCATAAACAGATTTCTTTCAAAAACATAAAAAAACCCATCAAATCGTACTGACCTTAAACTTTTGAAGAGTTATGTAAACAGATCTGAAACTGTGTTAAAATGTACACAACAAAAACAACCAGAATCCCACTACTTCTACAGGGCTATTAAATGCTCATTTGAAGTGCAATGTTGCAGTGTTGACTCCATCTCACCTGGGCCACGGCCACCTGTGTCTGCTGCTGCTGTTGGGTGAGCTGCTGCTGGAGCAGCTGGAGCTGGTGGTGCACAGACAGGGGAGTACCAGCCGGCAGCTGACTGTCTGAAGGAAGCAGCAACTTAGGGGAAGCCAGCAGGATGTTGGGCTCTTCAGAGGGCTGGAGAAAGAGAGAGAGAACGGTTGTTTTGTCAAGATCGGTAATTAATCTACATGTTCATGATTAAGAGTATCAAAAAAGCCTTCTGAAGCCATATTATAGCTTTGTGTGAGGAAAAGGAACAACATGAAATAAACAGAATAAGATGAAAGGGAATTAAAACTCAAAAGAGAATTGACAAAGGCCTTTGACAATGACCAAAATAACAATACAAACTAGTTTAGCAGTTATAACTGCACGACCAGCTCCATTTCAGCCCCTGTGCTGCATGCTTGCTATTAGGATACAATGCACTGTTCTGACCAGCACCGTGGTCAAAGATGTCTCTTTGCCGGCCTCTACTGAGGCTCAGATATTAATTACAGTAGCACTTCCCAGTCTGTGTTGCTGTGCAAACAAACAGAGTTCAGAGGGGTGGGAGGCAGTCAACTGTGACAAATTGTTAGTTTTACCCTACATGGCCAACTTATTTATACCCCAGTCGGGATGAAAGTATGGTAATGTCAGCTGTCAGATATTGACCTTTCATGTACAGAATGAAGGACTGAGTATGAAAGCCTCAGCAGTAGCGGCCAGAGATAAGACTGATTTTGGCTGAGATTGATGTGCTGCAAAGAGCCCTTTGAAATATTCAGGCATTGCCTGGTGCTGAATCACTAAACGAATGGCTAGACACACCAAACCAAGTGAACATCTACTAGACATAAACCGGATATGGACCCCCTAAGGCATTTCAAGTGTATCCCCCCCCCCCCCAAAATGTTATCCTATCCCAGTTTAATGTGACAAGGAGTCTGATTCGGTTGTGCTTCAAAGCACTGCTTTTGGAGTGGTCTAACAACAGATGATTGACTACCTGATCGTACAAACAATGGAAAACAGAGAAGGTCAGAAAGGAAAGATGGCAAATTCAGCTTGATAATGTTAGATAACTTTGATAGAAAGGTATGATTTATAAGATAAGATTTATAAGGTATGATATATAAGATAAGATTTTGTAGTTTTCAAGCAATTTTGTAAGACATCTTTTTATAATATGCATTACTGATTAAAAGTTTTGGTTCACAATTGTTTTTTAAAGGGGACATAACACACAGTTTCTACCAATCCGAAGAGTCTTTAGCTTTATCAAATTTATAAAAAGACAGTTACAGCTATACCAGGGCTGTCCAAACTCGGTCCTGGAGGGCCGGTGTCCTGCAGAGTTTAGCTCCAACTTGCCTCAACACACCTGACTGGAAGTTTCTATGCCTAGTAAGAGCTTAATTAGCTGGTTCAGGTGTGTTTAATTAGGGTTGGAGCTAAACTCTGCAGGACACCGGCTCTCCAGGACCGAGTTTGGACAGCCCTGAGCTATACGCTTCTCCCTGAAAACAGTCGAGCTTCTGGAGGCGTGCCGTGGGCGGAGCTAAAGAGTCATGAGCACGCAAAGCTTTTGCGTAGTGATTGTCTGCAAGCTGTGACATCGACATAAATAAAACAGAAACACAAACTTTATTGACTTAAATTTTATTTCATTTGTTTATAAACCATTCGTCACCGAAATGCCGGGAACAAACAAACAAACACTTACACAACTCCGTTACCGCCCCGGAGAAACAAACTGAATCCACTGTTCCCTTAACACTGGGTTCTTTGGGAAGCTGAACATGGTTATCTTTCCCTCTCAACCAAAAACACACTTCTTTGGAGACATTGTTGATTTCGTGGTCTAAAAACAAACTGACAAATCCTTCTTGAGCAAGTCCTGTGCAGCGCTGCTGATGAATTCTGTAACCTGAATGAAGCACGTTGATGAGCGTACTCTTGCTCTCGCTCTGGTTGATGTGTGCGCAAGCTCTTCCTGGAGAAGTGCCCATACAAAATAAAAGTTCCTTCTTCCCGAATGTGTTTTTCTTGATGTAACTCATCAAATGCTATGTGTGCAACCCTTAACAAATGCGATTAAATCTTCACTCTGGGCGACTAAATGATGCCTATCGTTAGCCATTGGCTAATAAATTCTTAGATTTTACTCGCCAGTGTGAGTTGAAGGCTAAGTAAAAGTTTAGCAGATATATTTTCACTCGCCGAACACTCTGACTGAGCGCTTCAGAGATTCACTCTCAGTCAAGTGATCTGTGCTATTTTTCAATTAATCTCAATGGATGCGCAGCATACCTGTATTTGACATATCGTAAACTCTAGTGTGAAGGCGCACAACTTGCCATTGCTTTGCTGAGTTTCTCACACACACGCAAAGAAAGAGAGATAGAGAGAGAGAGCAAGAGAGTCTTACATATCATGCAGAATTGATGCGCTACATGTAAACAATGTTCTTTGTTGTATTGTCCTGTCAAAATAACAGAGTTCATTTGGAATTCTTCCACTTTTAAGAAAACCATAAGATATTGCAGTTTCTCCAGTAGTGGGCAGAACTAATGCGCAAACGGCAATCTCATTGGCTGGCGCTCACCTGTTATCCTCTCTGTTTTGACTTCAGAAAATCAGCTTGAGCGAACGCAGACAACGTGATTAATATTCATGAACCAAGCAGCTCATTAATCCTTAGTGTGCTTTATATTGTTATTAGTAGTAGAATGCGTAGTACTAGTATTATTATCTTATCAGTATTATTGTTCGTTTTTTTTTTTTTACAGAAACACTGAATGACCACTTAAGCACCACCACAAGTCCTAATTTCAGTTCAAATGACAAATATGCATTAAATAATAGGGATGCACCGATACCGATACTGGTATCGGGCCCGATACTGAGCTCCTGTACTCGTAAAAATGCCCCAATATCAAACGCCGATACCACACAGCATGTGATAAGCGCCATATTCAGACAAAGAAACACCGACAACAGACAGCAGAATGGAGTTAAGGATATCTACTACGAAGTATATGTATGCAATGAATATAACGTTAAACATTCAGTATTAACGCCTGTATAGCTGATGTGCGCGAGCTGATAAACAAAGCACGCTGAGTGGATTGAGCGCGCGTCAGCGCAGATGCGCGAGCTTGTCGAGTGAATATATCTTTCTCACAGACATCACTAGAAAGTTTGTAGTTCGTTCGGATATGTCAAAAACAAGTAAGTAAAACAATGCACAAGTTACTTAACGGTAGAGAGAGAGAGAGAGAGAGCGAGCGAGCGCGTGTGCAATTCTGTTGTATGATCTTTGATGTTCACTCACTTAGCACATGCATCATTTGGATTAAAACTACATCTTAAAAATAAGACCATTTATAGGGGCATTCACTATAAACATCATTTATTTTCAATCTTAGGCATACATGACTTTCAGGCAAAAGTGAATCTAGCCTGTGTGAAATGTGCTAGGCTGTACTTGTCCCTCTCATTCTGCACCAGTACAAATACGTTTGCATGTTGCGCGTGGTTTGCGTGCTTCATGAGTGTTTCTGCATTATATGAGTGGCTTTGGAAAATAAATCGCTGCACGTTTCAGATGAAAAAAACGCGACTTCTATTTATGAAATATATATATAGGCAGTGTCTCTTCAAAATATTGTATGAGGGAAAAAAAAATTGTAGTACAAAAACAAAACAATGCCCATATTACAAAGTATAACATTAAGTGTATAAATCACTTGTTTTTCTAAAGTAACATTGTCCAACAGCAACACCCGCAGGTAAAGTTACAGCGGAGGCTTGCCTCCCCTGAGCCCATTGATTATTAACATAGACCCCATAGCGTGCCGTGACTTTACTGGGGGGTAATTGAGAATGAATGGGGGAAAGTCATGTGAGAGGAGGCAATGCCTCCATCGCAATATGATTGGAAATGACTGGTTATGTTTGGCTGTGATTGGTTCATGTGATAAATCCCACCTCTTGTGTTCATGCGTGTTCGCGTATCAGTCTGAATGAACAATATAATGGCGTTAATGGGAAGACTAATTAAAAAATTAAGTAAACAACTCACACACTTGGATATAACCACTTTGTTACGTCAAAAGAAGACTTAAAATGGCATGAAAACATGATCTGTAGGAGTTTTTAGTGAGCAGTCAGCTTGGTGAAATTTGATGACTGATGATCTGAAAAATTAAAAAAAGTTAAAAGTTAACTATTAAATAGCTGAACACAAGTTCACAAATAAAATATATTGTTTAAATTATACTGCTGTTATAATTATACTGAGTTATTTTAATAAATTATGTTTTATTAACAAGGTTCTGGAAGAGCACGATCAGATAATCAGTCTGGCCCTGGTGGAGTTCGTCAGCTTATCACAATACGTATATATAACAAGCACAATACGTATATATAACAAGCACAATACGTATATATTGGGGGGTTCTCTGGGTTCGGGCTTTAAGCCCTCCCTCTGGACAGCACGCCAAATATGCTACTAATTACTCAATCACATTATATTTTAGTGCGAACTCTGTAAATGTAAAATGCTTAAAAACACTAACTTGATGAGATTAATACATGGCTTTAATAGAATATTGATTATAAAAAAAATATAAAATAGTATTGTTTTTTTTTTTTTGATAGTGTAATGTTTATTTAACCAAGAAAATGTGACTGGGACATGAATTTACATTTGATTAAAAAAAAAAAAAAAACACATTTGAGGACTTTGAATCCTCATTCCCGAACCCCACCGATATATATATATATATATAGCTCATGGTTTTGATAGATTATGGTGTCAAAAACAAACTTATTCTACTTAAATCTGCATTTAATGCATGCAGTAGCCATTTTTTTCTGCCGTTTTGCTTAAAATGAGTAAAATTATCTTAAAAATAAAACTATCCAATTTCTTTACAATATGGGTAATGGGGTTGTATAAGCAAAAGTACATATGTTTTCTATTCAAAATCAAACTAAAAGCATAGATATAATATTTACAACTGGTCTTTGTTGCATTTATTTCCATACTGAATTGAGATCTGTTGTCTACATATTTAATCATCTAAAGCTGTTCACATTGCAAAGTTGGCACGGGAACAATGTTCAGTGTTGGATAAATGTGCACA